TTTATATCTTTATTGGCTGCTCTGAAATCTGCATGGCCAAGGAACCATCAGGCAGAGCTGGCTTCACTAGCAGTTCAGGCCTCCATGGCATCCTTAGAATGGTAGAGGACTGGATAGATGGATCTACTGCAGCCACATGGCTTAGGGCTGACACCGCTTGCTGAGGAAGATTTCCCTTAGATGAAACTGGAAGATCTTCACTTTGCTGCAGTGCTTCCTTCTTTCTTCACAGTGAGTTCCTCAGCTCATAATTTGCTTTCCTATGACTGCCCTTTTTGAACTGCATTTACTCAAACACTCCATCTGTTGTTGCAGCTTGGCATTCTGCTCTTGATTCAAATTCTTAACTGCACTTCCTTGTAGAGGTGATACAGCTCAGCCACAGCTGACTGGTTGTTATGGTGGCCATCAATCCTGCCATTCTTGAGTATCTCTACCTTCCTTGTAAGTTCTTCTACTTTTTACACTGCTAGAACAAGCACCCTTTGTTTTTGCTGGAACACACTGTTCATCTTTTCAATTTCCTCTTCAAGTATCCCCTTGCTTAGCCTCTTCTCTTCCACATGACCTTTAAGTACACTCACATTTTTTTTAGCTTGGCTTCCTGATTCTCAGATACTTCTTTTACACTATTAAGCTTCTCCTGCTCCAAACTTGTTTTTGTTGACACTAATCTTGTTGTTTTAAAAACTTCAAGTGCTGTTGCTTTGTACCCAGCATTTTATGCTGGGCTTCAATCCGTTGCTGCTGGTGAGATGCTATTTTTTTTTAATTTCAGAAATCCCCAGATTTATTTTAGGACTATTAATGCCAATCTCCTTTATTTCACATTCAGCAGGTATTTTTACATCATTTCTCTTGGGACTTTGATCCTGAAACCTTAGTCCATTCACAATGTCCCTGCCAGAGGGCATTCATGAGGAAAGAAGAAACAAACATCACTTCTCTGACTTCCAAATCATTAAAGAATGTCAAACATTCTCTCATTATGAGCAACTGGACATGCAGAGGCACACCATACTTCAGCCAAACATTAGTCACTCTTGCCAGCCTCTGTGCACAGATCTAACACATCTCTGCATATTGTCTCTGGTATAACTGGAACTTCTGTGCAGTGCTGGTCATTGTTACTAAGGTACACTCTTAGAAATATCAGCATCATTTTGGATCTGAATTGCATCAAAGCAGGTGGTGAGACAGTGCTCCCAGCAGAGCCAAAGCCCCCTGGATGTCCAGGGTGCACTGAGCAGAGCTAAGCAGAGGGCTAGGCTGCCAATGATGTGGTGGACCTGTTGTGAGGCAGGGTGGGTGACTCCTATGTTATTGGAATGCCAGTGAACCATGAGCCCATCCCCTGCTGGCCTGGGACTGGGCTTTATCTCCTCCATGTTTATGGAGGCCCAGGCTCACCCATCAGTTCCAAAAACAATTATTGCCAAGCCTGGTC